ATACTATATTAATTAAAACCCCTCAGAATATGTTGAATCATTTCAAAAGCTCATTTAAACAAAGAAAAAGCTAAGTTTTTTTCTGTAGTGTTGTGTTTTATGAATAAAAATTATGTTGTCGAAAATCTTGAAAATATATAACATAACTTAAAGAAGAACTTAATTTTACGATTATATTTTATGAAAGTTAACAAAATGTTGACTTCAGGAATTAAAGTTCACAAAAATTTATAAAAGCTAGTTAACCTCTATCTGTCCCTTACACCATATTCTGAGATTCACAGACAATGTCAGCAACTGTTAACACTACAAGCCAATCCTCATTGGGGCCTTCTTTGTTTAAATGCCTGTGGTGATGGCCACGGATGTCACATGATCTCTGCTTCCTGTCACAAGAAAGAAACCAATGCACCATTACGGTGTTAACTACCAAAAAATGAGTTTAAAATGACTTTAACTCCCTAAACATTATAAAGATTTCATTAACTTTTCAATTACAACTCCCAGACCCTGTAATTGCTGTCGGGTGTTAGAACCACGCCAGCACTGATCTTTTCACAGATTTATCTTTCATGTTTTTTAAAATTTTGACTGTTTGTGCCATCATAATGTTTCTACGCAATACTCTGTTAGACTGCAACTACTTGTCTGCAAAGTATAATTCAACAACGCAAAAAAATTATCATATGAAACATGAAGGGTAGACAGACCTTCACAGAATCCTTAACAGTGGAATGTACTAATCAAGATATAGGATATTAAGATAATCCAGTTATATTGGTATTTTTACCCTGTACCAAATATTTCATATATACATGAAATGAACAAAATGTATAAGATAAAATCCAACTTTAAATGTAGGTCAATTGTTATTTTTCTAAGATATTTTCAGAAAACTGTTGAAAAGTTTGTTAATTAATTTCTACGAGGTTCAACCTCAGATGAATTTCTCATAGGATTGACAGAAGATGCATTACTAGGAGGTTATAAACCTGAGATGAATTTCTTGTAGGTTAAAATTGAGATGAATTGCCTTTTGGTTGAATCTGAAATGAATTACTCGATAGTTCACCCTGACATAAATTGCTCATTAGTTCATCCAGACTGAATTACCCAATAGTTCACTCTGATGTGAATTGCTCGATAGTTCACTCTGATGTGAATTACTTGATAGTTCACCCAGACATAAATTGCTTGATAGTACACCCTGACATAAATTACTCGATAGTTCACAGACATAAATTGCTCAATAGTTCACCCAGACATAAATTGCTCTATAGTTCACCCAGACATAAATTGCTTGACAGTTCACCCTGACATGAATTGCTCTATAGTTCACCCAGACATAAATTGCTCATTACTCATCCTGACATAAATTGCTCTATAGTTCACCCAGACATAAATTGCTTGATAGTTCACCCAGACATAAATTGCTTGACAGTTCACCCAGACATAAATTGCTCTATAGTTCACCCAGACATAAATTGCTCATTACTCACCCTGACATAAATTGCTAAATGATTCAGCCTCAACTTCACACAAGAGATTCAACATTAACATGATTTGCTTGATGTATCATTCAGAGCTGAATGTTTGGGGAGATTTCTACTTTATGGTTAAGTGTCCCCTGCTGTATCAATTATTCTGCAATTCTACTGACATCGAAAACGGCACGAGTTTTAAACAATAGATATATCTGCAATTACTTTTTCATCAGAAAGTTTATTCTATATCAGATTTCCAAGCCCATTTGAATGTTATATCTAAACGAGAAAACTAATAACGATATTAAATAAACCATTGTTTTTCAACTACATTACTGGCAATTTGAAGTTTTCTAATGTGAAAGCTTGCAGCGTTTTTATGTACAGGGACATAACAAGGTTCGTTTTTATATAAATATTTCTATTGAATTAAAACAAATATCGATAAAATTAATTTCTATAAAAACTTTTGTGTTTATTTCAGAAAAACGTAACATGCAGGAATACTAAATTATATTCTAAATCTATGGAGATTTCAAATGAAGGCGTCCTCCTGGAGATCTAAAAAATTTGCAAGATGTATGATTTGTAACTGTAAAAGCTGCCATCCCATATGTCCACTTGGAACGATCCAATACAATAAAGAAGACAACCCATTACAAGTTTCAAGGGATGACAGCTTTTATATCACTTGCCAATAAAAATTTACTCAAAAACAATTTTTTCTAAGAAATTTTCAACAGATATTGGAACCGCAAAATTATGAAACATATGAAAAAATTAAAGTTGATGTCTATAGGAAAGATAAGTGAAATTGCGTTACAAGATCTTGTTTGGCGTTTCTGAATCGCAAAACCTGACAACATTACACTCTCCAGTCATCTATAAAGATGAGTCATCCTTACTATAAAAGTAACGACGTATCATACGAGACAATATAAAAAAACCCATCAATATCTCTTATTTTTAAATATCTCTATATAAACACGAATGATGTCGGTGCTATTTCTTCAGTACATCCTAACTGCAACATTTCCGATCATGCTCAGCAGAAACTCTACAGTATACCGCATACAGCTTTCTCTAGAGATCGTCTGATTGGTGGCCAAAATAATTCAATATATTCCCTATAGGGTACTACACAGTACTGAAGATAAAACCTATTTGTCAGCTTGGAATATATGTTTTTTATTTTGAAATTTTCTTGAAATTTTCTTTAACAGTCTTATAAAACATTTACTTAAAAAGTATACTATAATACTTTGTCCTTTCAATATGAAGCCAGCTTACAGATGTAAATAGATTAAAACTAAACTTAATTGGATGAAATATTAAATAGAGTTCATTACAAGTTAAGGTGACTAGGCCTTGTTGTAACTGAAGAGATAGACATCAGGGACGCATTTCGTCAATTTTTATGGTCACGACGAACGCCTTTCCTCAAAAAGGAGTCAATGCATTTCGACATTTGATAAAACTTTGCCATCATTGTGAAATGAGGCAGATTTGTTTCAGTTGAAATATGCCATAAATATTGTCCAAAAGATCTGCAATTTCGTGGAATAGTACGTCATTCCGGGTGATTAAGGGACGAACGGTGGGAATTCCCATCACAGTGGCAATGGAAACCTGTCGAAGTGTTACACACTCTCCAGTTATATTATATCTAACAGAATTTTGTTTTGTGTCTCTTGAAAATATTTTATAAAACAAATCAGACATCCTAAGTTTATGAGATATCCAAAATACTAATGAGATATCTGTGTGTTAATGAAATATCCAAAACCCAGATTAGATATCAAAAACACAAATAAGACATCCTGTGTGCTATTGAGATATCTAAAACACTAATGAGATATCCTGTGTGCTATTGAGATATCTAAAACACAAATAAGATATCCTGTGTGCTATTGAGATATCTAAAACACAAATGAGATATCAAAAACACAAATGAGATATCCTGTGTGCTGAGATATCTAAAACACAAATGAGATATCTGCGTGATACTGAGATATCTAAAACACAAATGAGACATCCTGTGTGCTATTGAGATACCTAAAACACAAATGAGATAGCCTGTGTGCTATTGAGATATCTAAAACACAAATGAGATAGCCTGTGTGCTATTGAGATATCTAAAACACAAATGAGATATCTGTGTGCTATTGAGATATCTAAAACACAAATGAGATATCCTGTGTGCTATTGAGATATCTAAAACACAAATGAGATATCCTTTGTGCTATTGAGATATCTAAAACACAAATGAGACATCCTGTGTGCTATTGAGATATCTAAAACACAAATGAGATATCCTGTGTGCTATTGAGATATCTAAAACACAAATGAGACATCCTGTGTGCTATTGAGATACCTAAAACACAAATGAGATAGCCTGTGTGCTATTGAGATATCTAAAACACAAATGAGATATCCTTTGTTCTATTGAGATATCTAAAACACAAATGAGACATCCTGTGTGCTATTGAGATACCTAAAACACAAATGAGATAGCCTGTGTGCTATTGAGATATCTAAAACACAAATGAGACATCCTGTGTGCTATTGAGATATCTAAAACACAAATGAGATATCCTGTGTGCTATTAAGATATTTAAAACACAAATGGGATATCCTGTGTGCTATTGAGATATCTAAAACACAAATGAGATACCCTGTGTGCTATTGAGATATCTAAAACACAAATGAGACATCCTGTGTGCTATTGAGATACCTAAAACACAAATGAGATATCCTTTGTTCTATTGAGATATCTAAAACACAAATGAGACATCCTGTGTGCTATTGAGATACCTAAAACACAAATGAGATAGCCTGTGTGCTATTGAGATATCTAAAACACAAATGAGACATCCTGTGTGCTATTGAGATATCTAAAACACAAATGAGATATCCTGTGTGCTATTAAGATATTTAAAACACAAATGGGATATCCTGTGTGCTATTGAGATATCTAAAACACAAATGAGATATCCTTTGTGCTATTGAGATATCTAAAACACAAATGAGATATCCTGTGTGCTATTGAGATATCTAAAACACTAATGAGATATCCTGTGTATTATTGAGATATCTGAAACACAAATGAGATATCCTGTGTGCTATTGAGATATCTAAAACACTAATGAGATCTCCTGTGTACTATTGAGATATCCAAAAGGCAAATGAGATATCTTGTGTGCTATTGAGATATCTAAAACACTAATGAGATATCAAAAACACAAATGAGATATCCTGTGTGTTTCAAAATGTTCTTGACGTAATTGAAAATTAATAAAACAGAAATATTTATCTATTATTCTATTTCAGATTGAGTTACTCTTTGTCATGACGATGGCACACAAAACTTTTTTTGGGGGATATTTTCATCTTGTTAGGCATTTGTCTCCATCGTAAAACATAGAGTGAAAAGTATAGAAATTTACTGTTTGAACCAGATGTCTCCTTCAAAATATCATTACATAGTAACTAACTCCCAGTTCCAGTGATCCACAGGGCATTCTACAGGTGTCATATGGTGTACCACAGGGTCTTCTACAGGTGTCATATGGTGTACCACAGGGTGTTTTACAGGTGTCATATGGTGTACCACAGGGTGTACTACAGGTGTCATATGGTGTACCACAGGGTGTTCTACATGTGTCATATGGTGTACCACAGGGTGTTCTACAGGTGTCATATGGTGTACCACAGGGTGTTCTACAGGTGTCATATGGTGTACCACAGGGTGTTCTACAGGTGTCATATGGTGTACCACAGGGTGTACTACAGGTGTCATATGGTGTACCACAGGGTGTTCTACAGGTGTCATATGGTGTACCACAGGGTGTTCTACAGGTGTCATATGGTGTACCACAGGGTGTACTACAGGTGTCATATGGTGTACCACAGGGTGTTCTACAGGTGTCATATGGTGTACCACAGGGCATTCTACAGGTGTCAAATGGTGTACCACAGGGCATTCTACAGGTGTCATATGGTGTACCACAGGGTGTTCTACAGGTGTCAGATGGTGTACCACAGGGTGTTCTACAGGTGTCATATGGTGTACCACAGGGCATTCTACAGGTGTCAAATGGTGTACCACACGGCATTCTACAGGTGTCATATGGTGTACCACAGGGTGTTCTACATGTGTCATATGGTGTACCACAGGGTGTTCTACAGGTGTCATATGGTGTACCACAGGGTTTTCTACAGGTGTCATATGGTGTACCACAGGGTGTTCTACAGGTGTCATATGGTGTACCACAGGGTGTTCTACAGGTGTCATATGGTTTACCACATGCTGTTCTACAGGTGTCATATGGTGTACCACAGGGTGTTGTACAGGTGTCATATGGTGTACCACAGGGTGCTGTACAGGTGTCATAAGGTGATTCAAAAGGTGTTATACAGGGTGATCTACTGAGTAGGGCAATCCACATGGTGTTCTACAGGTGGTATATGGTGTACCACAGGGTGTTGTACTGGGTGTCATTTGGTATTCTTTTGGTGTTCTACAGGGTGTTTTACAGGGTGTTCCATAAGATGATCAACAGGATGTTCAATAGAGTGTTCCTTAGAGTGTTACATAGTGTTCTACAGGGTGTTCTACAGGGTGTTCTACATGGTGGTCTAAAATCCACAGGATGATCCAAATTGTAATTTCCAGGATGTTCTACAGAGTGATCTACAGGATGTTCCACATGGTGATCCACAATCCAGAACTTGGTCCACAATCAGCAGGATTATTTACAACACAAGATTAATAGGCTTCTTCAAGTTAATCCACAAACCACTGGTGTATCAACAATCCACCGACTGATCCATGGTGATCCACTTACATAGAAATCATTCTTCAGTCAGCATGACTCACACGTACTAAATAATGTCTACACAAAGTCACAAATACTTTTCAATCTGAATAAACTCTATTCTAGACAACAGTCCACAGGGTCCAAAAAGGGCACTGGTAACAGCCATCTTCCACTTACAAATTCAAAGGCCATTTCACGGTATTACCATCTTAAACAAGATTGGGACCCAAAAAAAATTAGACTTATGTTTTCGTCTTTCCGAAGTGTAATTTCAATGTATTAGTCGACTCTTGTTTTTTTAATGTGGCGGGTTTGTGATAAACACCATCCAGTAGGGAAGGAACAGTAAAAACTAACGTCAGACGACAGCGCACATAAAGGAAAAAAATCAACCGAAAGCTTAAGGTACCTGATGCCATCTTCTGATAATGAGAATATATCCCTCTAGTCTTTATTTAGATTCAGTGACCTTGACCTGGGTAACCCCTGTTGTGTAATGTCTCACTAGTAATACAGTAATACCTATGTATATGTTGATTGAACTGTATAATAAACACAAATGATTATTTTACTGTCAACCAGGCCTTGGTAAGTAAAAAAAAAAATGTGTTGTCAATTTTCAGACTTATAACCAGACATTTTGTGAATACTGTCTTATCATTCACAACAAACTTCACAGGTCCTGCACCAAAACAAACAAGGCCTCACAAATGACACCAATCCCTTCACTCCCATTTGATATGAAGTTTGATACAGAACAAACTTGCCTAATATATAAAGTTTGATCAAAATCTGATGAGAAATGAAGTTGCTATAATGATGACGAAGATTTTCTATAAATAGTAACGATGACCTTAACAATTCTGGCATATTGAAACAGGAGCTCATTCAAGTATTATGATACTTGACCAATATGTGAAGTTTTATCAAAGTTGGTTGAGAAATGAAGTTGCTTGAGTGATGACGAAGATTTTCTATAAATAGTAACGATGACCTTAACAATTCTGGCATATTGAAACAGGAGCTCATTCAAGTATTATGATACTTGACCAATATGTGAAGTTTGATCAAAGTTGGTTGAGAAATGAAGTTGCTTGAGTGATGAGGAAGATTTTCTACAAAGAGTAACAATGACCTTATTGCTAACATACCCAAACAAGGGTTTACTACCGATATTTTTCATCTCACCTTAGTTTTATCCAATAATTAGATGCTTTGCAACAATCACATTCAACTAGCAACATTGTTTGACATCACCAGGTAATGCTTTTTTCTTAATTCTTATAAAAATAGGTCAAATTTTTGTCTTTTTTTTCAATAAAACATTATAAACTGGATTTCATCTGCTGCATGGCCACAAATTGGTCATAAATTGAATCTGCGGTGTGCTTCCATCACTCAGACACAACAGCACTTAATCGACTTCGCATGTCAGGAAACTTTCATTAAGCTCAAATTTCAATTTAATAACTAGGAAATATGTAGTAAGTTATATAGGAAAAGTCGTACCTAAGATATCATTTTTAAATGGTGCATTAAAGATTTCAAATTTTCCGTCTAATGTACCAAACATCGGTCTTTGTGAGGCGGTAAACCGTCCATTAATTTGACTACAAGGAGAACCAGTCATAACTTTTCTCTCTATCCCATAATTATACTTGTCTGAAGTGAATCCCTAGCGCATCACGCTTCAGCATGGAAGGTGTACCATGTGACAGCCTGAAAGAGGACCTGGTATTATTACGTTAGACTATCACGTTAGTAAGTTCAATACATAACAACGCCCTAGTAACCCATCTGACACGGAGCCACACCATAATACTTAAATACCTGTAAGTTTCTCGGCTGCCCTACACATTACCAATGACTATCGATAACATGCATGCATGTGCGTTCGTGCCGATCAAGTGTCACGCTCATTGCCCCCAAGTAAGGTCAATGTGTGTGACAGACAGATAAGTGTCGGAGCACAGAAGACAATGACGCTAATCTTACAAATATGCGGAGAAAGATATGTTTGATTTGGCCGATTAATTTAATGTTTTAATCCACTTATCTTCACGCCAAACTACACAAAATTTGCGTACAATATACTGGTAAAAAAAAAATATCAGCCTGGTTTAAAGGTAACTTGGCTTATTAGCCCTTCCTCAATATATTGTGTTTCTGCAGTGTAACTTCAAATTAAAAATGTAACAAAAAAGTTAATACTTATGTAACTATATCAACAGTAAGAAAACAGCAAATTTGCTACAATGAAGATTGCCAGAAATGACATCACACCTTTTTTTTGAAAACGGTTCTCTGCTTTTGTTTGTCTCCCAATTACATACCAATATCCTGAAAGCTCCATTTACAAAAGAATGGTGACGCGTGTACCAGACACATTCCATAAAAAACGTAATTGTAGAGTTAACGGCCAATACATGTCCATCTCAAAGACAAAAGAAGTGCAGAAGTGCACATCTCGTCGCTGTAACCTTTCTGTTTTAATAATAGGCACCTAATTACTGTAATGAAAAAACAGTTCTAGGCTTTTTAGCTCACCAACTTTAACAGCAGAAAATTTAAGGATACCAATTAACTAATCCATCATATTGAAAAGCCGAAAAAAAAGCCCCGTTTTTTCAATGTAATCTAATCATTGTAATGTTACGTTTCTAAATTAATAGTTACATTTCTTCCATCAAGTTTTATCTCATTATGAAATAAGGACCCATCTGAAATTGAGACCCTCCAAAAAAATCAATGTCTATTTGAAACAAGACGATATAGTTCCACGCCTAAGGCACTAGGGTTTCTCCTGCTCCAATATTTACTGTAGAAGGAGGTTGTAAATATACTGATACAAATCTGATACGAAGAACGTAACATAATATTTCATAGATTTCAAAATCTGATTTGATTTAATCATCCATACTCCAAATAAATGTCAAATTATTTAACCATTTTGCAAACAAACTTGATGTAGAATTGGACTGATAATGACATACAACGCAGCGATATTCCACCTGTTCTTTTTTGTGTGATCGGCATTTTCTGCAACATTCAGATCAAATGTTACCATGTACAGAATTTTTGCCAGATGTTTTTTGGAAAAGCTGACAGGCAAATTGTTCCTTGAAATCCATGCAAAAACACTTGTGTGGTGTACATAGTATACAGCAGAAAATCATTTCCAAAAGCTAAACAAATTTTCAAGGGACAAATAAAACAATGAAATTCGTAGCCGATATTTGCTGAATGTTTTGTGAGACAAGACCGTTTTCCTGCCAATGCTTGTTCCATGAATTGGCACTCAACCTAATATCGTGGTAAAAGACGGAATTTTGGTGTCAGATGCGATGGTTTGATAGGCCCCTCTCACACACACCAACGGATCAGACAGGTTCAATTATTCTTGTTAAAAACATTTTTTTTTCTATTTGCATCACGAACTGTTTTCATTGGCTCTAATACACATTTGTTACAAATCAATCGGCCAGCAGTTGTTTGTACGTTGTAGATAAAACAGATATACAAAATTTGATAGAGTTTTTCATAGCAACAAGTATTTAAAAACACAAATATCAGGTGCACAACTTGAAAAATAAATATCGCCAGTAGAAACCTTTAGAAGCCTTTAGAATCATGTATTTACGGGATATTCAACTGAAGCCAGATCAAAATTTGAAATATATCATATGGTTGCCTTGTTGTTCAGTGGATATACCCCTGTCATATGTTTGTCTATCATATATATGTAATATAGCTTTTTATCATGTCACTTTAAATAACGAAACAATGTCACACATTCACAGCTTGTATAACAATGCAACAATGCAGACTACTTAGAGATATTGAGCAGACTTGATTTCATGTTTGACAAGGAAATGTTGTTCTTTTTAACAATCTGCACAATGATACCAATTAGTACGTAGAGGTAAAAGCAAGATTTCTTATTAAAGAATAGAAAATGAAATAAAATTTTTAACACAGCATTTTCAGCAAAAAATTAATAAAGGGCAACAACTCTGTAATTAATGTAACATGTAACCTTGTTGGACATCGGAAATCACATAAAAAAAATTTTAGTTTTAAGGTATGTGTACTTGACACTGGAACAATCCCCTATGATCAACCAAATTTCTGATGAAACTCCAGAGTAGGTTGCGACCTAGAAACTCCATCGAAGATTGCAACCAAACAACGCCACAGAGGGTTGCAACCAAACAACTCCTTAGAAGGTTGCAACCTAAACACACAACAGAAGGTTGCCACCTAAACACACAACAGAAGGTTGGCACCTAAACACACAACAGAAGGTTGGTACCTAAACACACAACAGAAGGTTGGGACCTAAACACACAACAGAAGGTTGGGACCTAAACACACAACAGAAGGTTGCCACCTAAACACACAACAGAAGGTTGCCACCTAAACACACAACAGAAGGTTGCCACCTAAACACACAACAGAAGGTTGCCACCTAAACACACAACAGAAGGTTGCCATCTAAACACACAACAGAAGGTTGCCACCTAAACACACAACAGAAGGTTGCCACCTAAACACACAACAGAAGGTTGCCAACTA